GAGTGTATTTTCCCACTCTTTTGCACACCAATTAGGTTTTACAGTGAAGTATCTTCTTAGTCATCCAAGACAAGTGAAATGAGAAATTTTGATAGAGAGCAGCTTATTCTGACCATACCCTGCAGTAGAAATGAGGCCAAACACCTCTGGCTGGCTGAGCAAACTTGAGAAGTTCCTGTAAGACAACTGCGTAACAAGTGCGTGAAAGGTGAAATCCAGACACAGGGATCTTGTGAGTGGCATCACCTAAAAAAAGCGGTAGGGAGCAGAAAACAAACATCAAATTATGAGTAGTCCTTAGAGGATACCTTCCTCTCTTCTTTCTATCTTTTTATACATATACAGTATAAGCACATACACACACCTCCCCTTCTCAACTTTATCACAGATGCTGCTTGTAATCAGAATCTTGCTTCCATCAGCAGGAGACCGGTGTCTCCAGGATGTGAGCAAGCACAAACACACACTTACCCCTTTTCAAAGGCCAGTATCTAAGCATTGGACATAGGCAAACAGTGACCAAGTCTGTTCCCATACACAAGGAGAGGAAGTGTCCCAACAGAAACAAACTGGATTCTGCAAACACTCCTTAAGAGTCAGTCACATAGGAAACAAGGCAAGCCAAGCCAGACACAACAATGGTATAAATAATTTCACTTTGCTGACATATCTAAAGCTGCAAAACACAACTTTTAAATACAAACTAGCATCTCATGTTGAAGATAAACACAAGGACTATCAAGGGACAGAGACTCTGCTCAGATGGACTTGAAAGCATTAAAAGCCATACAAAGTTGTCCCATTTCAGAACATACTGCAGTGGTTACTGAATTAAAATGGGAAGACAGAATACAAATAACTCTGCCATTGACAAAACCATTTTGGGTTCACTTGCTCTGACCTTTGTGAGTTCAAGAAACACATAAAGGTGGCTGTAACAAGATGCTCTGTCACTCCTGTCTCTTTGAAACTTGTGAATTTACCAGGAGAAACTGCAGACTTACAAAACATTTGGATACAGATGAAACAAGCAGAGTCTTAAAATGTACACCTTAGCATGTAATTCTCTTCCTCCACTGATACTCACTAGCAGCCTGGCAGTGATACAGAAACCCATATGGCGGTACTTCTGCAGAAGAGCAGAGGAGACAGGGGAAAAACAACAATCATCATCCAACATCCACAACAGATCCTTAACTCCCAACAATACATCACAGTTTCATGTACAGAAAGGAACAGCCTCACCTTCCCTTGTGGCCTTGTACAAGTGCCACAACTGCTTCTGACAAAATTATTTGCAGTTATATGCATTTAAAACCCCCCAAAGTATACTGTATAGTCTGTGCGTTTAGGTCCAAACAAGACAAACATTCATTTGCATGAAATACAAAGCACAAACATCTGAAGGTCCTCCTGGATTTCTCCTACCCTCTTTGAAGCTTCATGCAGTTCTGATGCTTAAGCCCATCTCTTCAGAACAATCACCACTGCTCCCACATTTTGATAAGTCCAACCACTTACAGCCAAAGAAATGAACCTGCCTTAATAACAGAAACCTAATCGGGGAAGCAGTGACACTAGAAAGCCTTCCTCTCACCCCAAAGCAAGATGAACTACTTCCTCTCTCCCTTCTTTGGGACTCACCTGGATCTATGAAGTGATGGAAATCAGCCGTTATGCCATCCAGCAAGGAGTACCTGACACATCCAATCTCACAAGGAAGAAAGCGCTGCTCACAGTGGGACGGCAGCTTGCCATGGCTGTAAATGTTCAGGAAGTAGAAGACGTCTGCAACCACAGCTGAAAGAAAACAAAAACAAAAAAAACCAAACCAGTTTAATAAGAACCATCAGAGGTTACAGCAAACCATCCTGGTCTCACCTTATCCAGTAAAAGCTTCAGTGTGATTTATCATATGAATCAGTAAAATAGGGTAATGACCAAGTAAAACACAGATCTTGCTCTGTCTCTAGGATTACAAGGTAACCAGTGCTTATCCAGGAGTCAGGCATATCCGTAGTCCTGGTACACCTCCCATAGGTGCTACTGTATGTAGGGATTAGAGCAAAAAATACCCCAAAATAAAAGCAATTAAACCAAAGAAAACAACAATACCACCAACAGCCAAACCAAAATGCAACAACAAAGTCCAAACCCACAAGAAGGCATGGAATCCAGCAAACTTCTATTCCTTTTTATGACAGATCTCAGAATCACAGAATCACTATGGTTGGAAAGGACCTTTAAGATCATCAAGTCTATTATTTCATTATCTAACTCTACCAGGCCACTTCTACACCATATCCCTGAGCACCCTAGCTAGACAGCTTTGAAATACATCCAGGGATGACGATTCAGCCACTTCCCTGGGAAGCCTACTGCAGTCCTTGATAACCTTTTCGGTGTAGAAGTTTCTCCTAATGTCTAACCTAAACCCCCTCTGGTGTAACTTCGCACCATTGCTTCTTGTCCTGTCAGCTGTGGCATGTAAGAAGAGGCCAACACCCACCTCCCTACAGTCTCCTTTCAGGAAGCTGTAGAGAGCCAGAAGGTCACCCCTCAGCCTCTTCTTCAGGCTAAATAACCACCATTCCCCCAGCTGCTCCTCACAAGTCTTATCTTCAAGATCCTTCACCAGCTTTGTTGCCCTTCTTCGCACCCTCTCTTGTACCTGTACTGTGCTGCCCCAAACTGAACACAGTACTCACGATGGGGCCTCAGCAGTGCCAAGTACAGTGGAACAATCACTTCTCGAGTCCTGCTGACTACACTATTCCCAATACAGGCCAGGATGCCAGTGGCTTTCTTGGCCACCCGGACATACTGCTGGCTCATGTTCAGCCGGCTGTCAATCAACACCCCCAGGTCCCTTTCTGCCAAGCAGCTTTCTAGCCACCGCTCCCCAAGTCTAGAGCTTTCCCTGGGGTTGCTGCTGCCCAAGTGCAGGACCTGGCACTTGACCTTGTTTAGAGCTCATACAAGTGACCGTGGACCATCTGTCCAGCCTGTCCAGGTCCCTCTGAACAGCCTCCCTACCATTAAGCAGACCAACACACCCACCTAACTTGGTATCATCTGCAAACTTACTGAGGGTGCTCTTGATCTCCTCATCAATATCATTGATAAAGATGTTAAAGAGGAGCAGCCCCAGCACTGAGCCCTGGGGAACACCACTTGTGACCAGCCTCAACCAGACTGAACTCCATTTCCCAGCACTCTCTGGGCCCAGCCACCCAGCCAGTGCACAATCCAGTGGAGTGTGCACCCAGCTAGACCCAGGGCAGCCAGTTGTGTGATGAGAGTGCTGCAGGGCACAGGATCAAATGCTTTACTGAAGTCAAGATAAACAACATCCACAGCCTCTCCCTCAGCCACCAAACAGGTCACCTTATCATAAAAGGAGATGAGGTTTGTTAAGCAGGACCTGCCCCCTTCATGAATCCCTTAGGAATTTAAGGTTAGAAAAGAAATCAGTAACTACAAAGCTCACAACCTCAGTTCAATACCTCATAGCAGTTAAACGAGATGGTAACAATATTCTGGGGTAAGAAGAAATGAGAAGTCTGTTAATTAAAAGGCTTGCTTCTCCTTTGCTAAATGAGCTCCCAAAGAAGGCAACATAAATATCCAAGATAAACATTAAGAAATAAATTTGATTACTAACTTAAGTATTTAACTATGAAAAATATTTCACAATATACCTTAATCTGTCTCTTCACGAATGTCACGATGTTCTCACTGGTTTAAGTTAGCTATTTAATCCTTACCCTTAACTTCTGCCTGTCACCAAAAAATCCTACTTACTCTACAAAATAGAGATGTGTAACTGTTTTTAAAGTAGAAAAAATGTTGTATTCCAGACATTATGGTATTTATCATCAGTTGTCCTAAGCTTGAATGCTGGTGCCTTCTTACAGAGGTCTTAAATTCTATAAGCTGCAGGGTCATAAGAAAGATGCCACTCCTACTTGAGTACAACTGCTTTCCTTAGGGAAAAAAAAAAAAATGGATATATACCTACAAGGAACCATACGGGACTTTTAGTGAGAAATATTATAGAGCAGCATCATAAAATGTATCTCAGTTATCCTTCATCATTAGCCTTCTCATTCAGTTTAAAGATCAGTCCTGTCAGCTCAAGCCAAGTGATCAACCTTATCGAATTTGCATCACAATGACAGGGGAGCATGACCTCTGGCAGGGAGGACACTAACAGGTATCACTTTTTAATGCAACTACACTTTCCTGCCTCTCCAAAACCACGACAATGTGAAAATAGTAAAAGAGCCTTGTTAGGTAAAAGGCTTGAGCTGAAACTTAGCCACAGAGCAGATACAGCTTATGCTAACTGGCTACTTCACTTACCAGTGTAAGCATTACCATTTATTTTTCAGAATAATGTAATACTCACTGGGGAAAAAAATAACAAATGTGTTCATCACTCAATTCTCATTAAAACATCCATTTGAAGAGGGGGTATACATGAGAAGGTTTAGCTTTCAAGAGTTCTTTCAGTAAGGAAGCAAGCCAGGACATCATAAAAGCACTGACAAAAGTACATATCTCCTCTTTTATTCTCCCAAAAAGGCCAGGTCATCGTTTCAATTAACACCTCTATCATATAAATTTTGAACTTTGATATCTAACAGCTCCTCAGCTTTTAAAATTTGTATGAGTATTCTTTTACACTGAACTTGGATTAGGTCTTGTAAGTCATAAAGTGTAGTAGTTAAGAATTACCTTTTTCTTATAATCCTTGAAATAGTATTCAAGAAACTATTAGTAGCTACACTTGCATCAAGTGAAAAAAAAAAAAAAAACCAACCAGAGGATACGATCACCTCAGGGGAGAAAGGGACATTTGCAGTGACTTCCCTCAATACTACAAAAGACCCTTTTGCAGCAGTACACCACTTAGTTTAAAACAAACAGTTGACACAGATGGCTAGTAGGAAAATGTAACCAGCATGTACAGTGACTGCTGAGAATATCTATAAAGAGAGAGCTTTTATCTACCATGATCAACTGCTTTAAGATCACTATACCTTCATCGTTCTTCCAAGACATAGCAGAAGTATTTGGAAGAGAAGTAACACTGGGCATCCTTGTGGTCAGACAAGCAGGAGCTGGATGATCCAGATTATGTGTCTGGAAAAGATAAGAAAGTTAAAAAAATCAAGAGTCTGCTAACCCCCAATAAAGTCCTTCACCTCCTTATATTAGAGGAAAGCATAACATCCACCAACAGTTATGGTTAGTCAGAACAAGCCTGCAGTTTATATATAAGCACCTATGTACTTGCAGACCAGGAAGGCAAGATTTCTAACAAAAACAGAGACAGGCATCTTAGTACCTTCGTCAACTCACTACAATTGGAAAGAACCACAGCTGAATTAATAAAACATAATTTAAAAAAAATATCAAAAGTGTGGCGTATTGAAGACACAGTCCCCAGAACTGCTTGCAACTGAAAACCTTTATTGATAGAATTCACACACGCTTACAGCCTGCAAGCTGGCTACCAGGTCATCCTGACCATCCAGCTCTTAATTTTCAATGAGAGTGTTGCAGTTAAGCCTTGCTATTTTTGCTTTCAGCTTCTAGCTTATCTACTAACAACTCTACTTGTTTTTGCTTTGAATGTTCTTATCGGCAGCTTCCCACGATACCAAAGCCTTCAGGTTTTGTGTGCTGCTCCACATGCTGGCCACCTCAGCCTGCGCCTCATCTCCAATCCTCACACAAAAGAGTATTATTTTGTCAGGCAAAATTTGATAGGCACTGGAACTTTTCAAATTGGAATTTCAAAGTTTTTTCCATAAACTTTATGAAAAAGCTTGACACACATTAGCTGCGTTTGACTGGAAATCAAATCTGTGAAGAGCTGACAAAGCCTCGAGGAAGCCATCAGATCCCTCTGGCACGGAACAAGTAGGAGTGGTGCGTATGCCTATTAAGCATTGCAAATCCACGTGAGAACAATAAGCTGTGAAGAGGACAGGAAGAGAAACCTGGCAGGCTTGCAAAATTCAATCACTCAAGACCCAAATTAGGAATAACATTCACATCTAGGTACACCAACTCATCAGTTCGAACTAAGATGGTAATCAACAAACTTTGGCTATTTCAAACCAGATGAGGAAACCGCTTTCGCCAAAGTAAGCTTAAGTCATCTCCAAGAGGTGACTAAGACCTTTAACTACAGAAAATAACTGTGGTTGTCTGTGTATAAATATGTGATTAATAAGTTGAGGTCACATATAATCTCTTTCAATACACACTTCCCTATTTCCACTGACAGGTAATAAGGATGATGGTATTTATTTTGGTAAATGCAATTATTCCTGTCCCTGATTAGTTTTCTAAATTGCTACTGCTTGTGGAAGGAAACACAGAAGCGCCCAGTTATGACTTTGTTGTCATTTCATGTAGCGCTCCATCATACATGAAAACACACCTTCATTAATTGCATATCCCTGGCCTGCTAAATAACACAGAGATGATCACATTTTAAACAGCCCTTTCCCATACAGGCAGGTTCCCCAAATCACAAATCATTGACCAACATCTCCCTGCTAGTCTAGATTGACTAAGTTAAAAGATCCAAATTTACTAGCTACACCAAACTACAATCATCTTGTCTTTCTCTCCAGCATCACGTAAGTGCTTTAGAGTCCTAAAATCTACCCTCAACAGTAACTCATAGTTCATAGTATCTACTTGTATGCGATAAAGAAATAAATGCAGTGTTTTTAATTTAATCAATCAGGCTCTTTGCTATGACACTCAAGTTTTTACACTATCAGACAATATTGGAATAAAATAAACTTTCTGACACCTCACATAATCCAAACTCTGAAGCAAACTATGCTTCAGGGAACTGCTGGAAGAGGGAGACAAAAGAAAAACAAACAAATGAACAGAGACTTTTTTCAGGACAGTAAATAGTAGAAGGTATTTGCTTTGCACCATTTATGACCACAACCACATGCAGCTTAGCCTAACTGCTTAGTTCTACATTCTGGCATTTTGCCCTCCACCACAGCATTACTACTGTCTCCATAATGAAACCAACCTAAAAATAGTGCTAAGGTATAATTGCTCTTTTTTATGTATAGGTTGCAACATTTCATTGATTTGGTACACCCCACAGCCACTTCAGAATTCCGAGTCAGTTGCATATAGAACATCGTTACAGGCCATCAGACAAGAACCACTTAAATTAAGGACAGCCACAACGCAAAAGCAATATGAATCTGTGACCAGAAGTCATCTATTTACAGTAATGTAAGTAAAAAAACCAATACTGTCCATCACTACAAACTATTGTTCAACACTAAATTGTTAGAGAACTACATTTTACCTGGTAAAAGAGCCTAAACGAACAAGCCGTGACGGTTTAATACAGTTCGGAGTATTCTCACCTTTAATTCAAACCAGAACTATTTTCTTCACAACAGTGTCGACTACCACAGCAGCCATAACCACCAGAGGTCAGAGGCTATGGAGAGCAGGTGATATTCCATAGCTTCATAGGTGATCAAACCCCAACACCACTCACTTGATCTTAGTTAGCTACACGGAAGGGTGCTTCTTCCTCAGCATTTACCTCTTTCACTGTCTTCTGAGAGCATTTCTCTTCTTTCCACTTATGAGCCTCCTTTCTATATGCCATCTTTTCTTCCTCAGTCAGCAACTTGAAGGATAGCAAATTGTTAAAAAAAGGTTTTTACTGCTTCCTCTGAGTAGTCCCACAAACCAACAACTCTTAAGAAATTACATGGGGATCTCCAAAGGATGTTAACGCTTGGCAAGAACTGACAACTGCTAGCATTGACTCAAATGTTTCCAGTAGCTTTCTTCCTAACTATGGCACAAGCTTCGATTTAAAACACCTAGTGACCACGTGCTTTTGAAGCACCTTCAGACAAGGACAAACTAGCTCTGCCCCACCACAACCAACCAAAACTACTCGTACCAACCAGGGACACCACTACCCATCGTATGCAGGCCAGAGCTATCCCCTCACAGCTAAGGGGAAGACAGCGTAGCTTGTGACTCTTAGCTAGACCCGGCTGAGGCCCCTCAGGAAGCCCACCTAAACGGCTAAATTCACAGCAGCTGAGTCACCAGCTCGTTTACCCTCCTCAAAGGCTATGCTGACGTTTTCTCCCACATGCAACCCACACGGACGCCCTACACAGAGCCACATAACCACGGCCCCGGCACACAGCAACTGCACCAGGGCCGCACCGCAGGGCTCCCCCCCCCGCCGCTACGCTGCGTTAGCCCGAGGCCGCTCCTCTCCTCGGGGGCAGGAGAAAGCCCTTCCCCTCACCGCCCACGCCTGGGAGCAGTAGGGGATGGCGTCGACCACGCGGCTGACGGGCA